TAAAAAATAAGGCCACGTGAAATAGGAACAATTCACTTTCGTACCTTCAAAAATATAAACAGATATTTATGACACCACTTTATTTTTAAACAATCCAATGTTTATTTTACTTCATTGAAATTTTTGTAACAAATTTTAAAAAATTCATTCTTTTTATTCATTTACTTTGATTTATTCATTTCTATAAGTAACTTGGTTAAAGTTATTTATATAAATAACTTTCTTTCAATTTTAAGCATTTTTATCATTTTTAAAATAATTCAGATATGAGATCCATAATAAAATATTTATTTTTATTCCTAAATAATTCTGGTTAACAACTCTAATAAAAATAAAAATGAATATTTTTAAACTCTATTAGAATAGATATCTCTAATGAAAATTACTTAAATTTTTTTTACTTGTTTTATCAAACAACTTAAACCCTAAACTGCATTAGAACATCTCTAATAATAATAACTCACTTGAATTGCATCTTATTTTTAAAATGTAGAATAAAAATTTATGACGTTACATTATTTTTAATATTTTTAAGTAACTCAATATTGATTTTATTTCATTAATTATTTTTATAATATTTTAAAAAATTTATTCATTCTCCTTGTTTATTTTAATTTACTTATTTTCATAAGTTACTTATCAACGTAGAATTTTTTTATTAATAAAAAATTATTTTAAACAAATAATATTTTATTTAAACAATTTTAATTAATAATAATTTGATTTGTCTTTTTGAAATCAACAATTAAGAAAATCTATTGATTTTTCTAGGAAAAACATAAAAAAGTTATATGACACTATGGCAAACCCTCATAATATATATATATATATATATGTATATATATATATATATTATTTCTTGAATATTTTATAAAATTTTATTTATTAATTAATATTTTATATTAAATTAGTTAAAACACATAATTATAATAGTAATTATTTATAATGTAATATTTTACATTTATATTAAAGAATATAGAAGGACTAACATTTTTAATTAAAATAATAAAAAATAAATTAACAAAATTTAAATAAATGAACTAAATTTACAAAATAAAAATAATCATGGGACAGAAAATAGAATTACAAAAATTCTGAACTACCTATTAAAGGTTCATTTACGTTACTGATCAAATAACGTACACACATTATATTTCTGAAAAGTGACTTAAACACCGATTCCCAAAATGAATGATAATGATATTTTATTTAGAATTTATAACATTAAATAGAATATACACCTAACAAAATTTGAACAGCCATTTAATGCTAGGAACACTTGTGTGAAGCGAATTTTAATGATAGGTCAAAATAAACTATTTAAATTGTGAAAAAAAATAGGAAACTATAAAATTACAAACTAAAAATAAAAAAACTATAATTATATTTTTTATAAATTTTATTATGATAAAAAATATATTAACAAATTGTTTTAAAAATATAAATTAATTTGTATAAGACAGCCAATTTTTCTATAAGTTTTATTATGATTAGAAAACAAAGTTTATATATATATATATATATATATATATATTTATTTATTTATTTATTTATTTATTTATTTATTTATTTATTTATTTCAGTATCATTTAAAATTTTTGTAATGATTGTATATGTATTTTTCTTTATAGAAAATTTTAAATTAAGAGGTGTGGCACTGATGTTTCATTAACGAAGTGTCAGTGTAGTGTACGATGTCCCTAAATTTTAATGCTACGAACACGTGTGTGGAGCCTAATTTTAATACTCCCCACAACTATGTCTAAGCTACGCTGTGAATGACCAAATATGGTCCCTTCAACCTCTCCGTCTTGGGATAAGCTTATCAGAATAGTTTATACAGAATAATAAGTTCGATCAAAATTAAATTCGTACTCGTCAGATTGATTTATCCTCACCCACGAAAAAAATTTGAGTTTATCCTCACCTACGAAAAATAAAAAAACTTGAGTTGATGGAGACGAGAGCTGCTTCGGGTTTTATCCGTTTTAAAAAATTGGAGGTGAGAGCGAGGGTGGGGAGAGATAATGCAATCTCCACCTTAATCTCGACTGGTTTCCGTCCCGACTTTATATTTAAATTTTAAAATATTAATATTTTAAAGTATTTTCTTCTCTTTTTCTATTATATATAAGATCATTTTTTTATATTTCACCATTTTTTTCTTTTATCCACTCTTTAATTTTTTTGTCTTCTTTAATTTTTTATATCAATTAATTTATTACATTATTTTTTCTCTTACCTTTCAGTTTTTCACATTTCCTTAATTTCTCCCATCAATTTGTTTTTTTTTCAATCTTTTCAACTAATTTGATGAATGACAAAGTTAATTTTTTTATTCTTTATCTTTTTCTAAATATTTTACATAAATCTTAGTAGCAACTAATATTATTTTATTTATAATTTATATTTATTAGGTTTTATTATGTCATTTTTTTATCTTATTATTCTTTATTTATTATATATCAAATTTTATCTTAATAAAATAATTGTATTTTAAAGGATTAAAGGAATTGATAATTTAAACTTTTATTACTTCGAACTAATTGAATAAGAATTAGTTTATTAAATATTTTCTTATAAACTATATATTTCATATTTTTAAATGACAACTTAAAAATGAATTAACTTATATATATAATCAAATGTTTGAATACAATATTATAATAATAATGTTATAAATATTCAAATATTTGAATACAGATATTATAATAATAATAATGTTATAAATAAAAAATAAAAAATATTTCTTTTACATACATATTTTAATATAAATATAATAAATTAAAAAATATATTTAATTAATAATTATTATAAATTATAAAATTATAAATATTTATTTATATATAAAAAATAGATAATAAAATTAATTTATTATAAATATAATTATCTTTTTAAAAATAATATACATCGGGAACGGAACGGGAGCGAGGATTGGGAGGCAAAACCTGCCCCACTCCGCCCCATTGCCATACCTAAGAATAAAGTATTTTAGAAAATTCAAAATTTTAGATCTAATTTATACAAGTTGGATTAAGACAAATAATGTTACACCAGATGGAATCGAAGGAGATTGAGACAGTTAACTTGAGTGAGATTGGGACAATTAGGTGAGATTAAGATAAATTAAATATTTAAAAATTAGATTCAATAAAAAAAATGTAAGAAGATAAGAAAATTAAATTAAGTCGAGTTAGATTACTATATTGATATGAGTCAGATTTTATTAGGTTGTATTTGAACGAGTTCATACTGAATCAGGTCTATAATAAAATCATGTCAAGTTGAGTTGGATTTAGGTTAGGTTGGACCGTAAATGAATAAAACATATCAACCATTATTAAACAGGTTAAGTTAGACTAAGATAAGATTTGTGGGGTTAAAAAAAAATTAATACAAAATGAATCACCTTAAATTAAGATGAGTCAAATTGAGATAGATTAATTAATTACATCAAATCTGATCAACAAGGATTGAATTTAGTTAGGACAAATCAAGTCCAGATGAACTTGGTTAATATAGGTTATAGAATTAATGGTTAGTCCATATGATTTAATGATGGTCAGAACATCAAATTAATTTGAACCAAGTAAAGACGAGTTAGACCTGAGGTAAGTCATATTGATTTGGGTAGACTCATGTTGAACGAGTTAAGATAAATAAAAAATATGTTTAATTAAGATTGAGTCAAAGACAAAATCTAAAGAGATGAAACATAAACATAAGAAAGTAAAAAAATATATATCTTATTTTAAATAATCATAATATCCTTATTAATTTCTAAAATTTTAAAATAATAAATTTTATCATGAAATAAAAATAATAAATTCATTTTCCAACAAACATTATTGTTTCTTTATATTTTAGAAATTTTATAGGATGATTTTATAAAATCAAAACCCCCTATTTATGTAACTACAAAAAGTTTTACTTACTAAATATTTTTATTAAAAATTTACATTAATGAATTAAGCTCAAATAGGTTGTTCTGGATAGTTGTTACTTTATGATATATTGAGTTGAACTCTGTTGAATCTTGAAAAAAAAAAAAAGAGAAGTCCACTCACAAAAAGTAAATAATAATGTGATCCTATTTATAAATATTTTTACCATGATATTTAAATAGTTAATTATATCTATTTATACTAATTATAATCGAATAATTAATGTAGATTAATTGTGGATTATTAAATTAGTATACATTAATATAAAAAATATTTTTATTATATAATTAATGTCATGAAAAATTGTGAATTAAGTGAGTTTTAAAGATAATATAGTAATATTATTGGTCACATTAAATCTTATACATCTTCTTGAATCATTAACTTTGTTTCATATAATCAAATTTTCTTTCTATCAGATAAAGGTTTGAAAGAATTCACGATTTGGTTGTTAATAATGTACATCTATTTGATATTTCATGGTATCCAGTAGTAGCCAAGTAATGGCTTGAATACGACGTGACATTCTCTTGTCCTTTATGAGTCCGTGTTGAATTTATGTAGGGCCTATAATTAATTGCTCAAAACCAAGATTTAAAGACTACGTGTTTTTGGTGCAATTGGTAGGCACTAATAAATTCAATTTATTAATGAAATCTACTTCTCTCTGTTCTATTTTGTTAAGTATTTTTTTTTAAATATTATCAATTTTTTATTTTGTTCTTGGATAAGAACGACAATATTCCGATTTTATGTTTATTGTAATGTTTAAAATATTGTATCTTTTAAAACTTTTATCTATTATCATTATCATAGTAATATGAGTTCGAGATAAACGATTTTATGTTTATTATAATAATATCATTATAATCAATTCTAAATCTAATATTTAAGACTTAAACCTCTTACTCATTATTATTATCAAAGTCATAGTGACTATGAGATCGGAACAATAAACAGGAACAGAAAATTATATGAAAACAGTAAAACATATACGGAAATTGATGTTAAACATACATAGCATGTTCTTCTCTTGTACTCGTCGAGTGGGTAACACTATGGATAAACCTCGATCATAAAATCCAAACCTAGAACTGGAGTAATCTTGTAGTTACTGAAACCAGCAGAGAAAACGAGGCTGGCCCATTCTTTCTCATTTCTTTCATTTTTATTGAAGAGTATCATCATCTGCAGATCAAAGAAAATCTCCGTCTCAGTTAATTCACGGTCTTCCTTCTCATTCCCCATCACCATGTCAATGATGATAACCTTGCCCTTGCTACTTATTGCCTCCTTGCAGTTACTCAGCATTTTCAAACATTTCTCGTCGTTCCAGTATTGCATTTTCCACTGCTTAATTGTCAAAGTAACAGTGATAAGAATCATAAAAAAGAAAAACAAAAAGAAAACTATTTTAAGATTATCTTTACGGTCACAATGGCTGAGACCTTTTTTATTCTCCTTTTTAGATACAGATTATATGGGATTAATATAATTATAAAATATTTTAATTTTGTATAATATAATTAGATACAATGGTGTATCTTGTAAATAGGTTATTGAATAAATTTAAATATTTTAATAATAGTTTTTAATATTAAACATGAAAGTCAACAGCCACTAGTTTGTGTCATGTGTCTGGATTGTAAATCTTAACTAAAAGGTTAAATTCCGATCTATAAATTTACAATTGTAATCTTATTGAAAAGTATGAGTAAAAGAATACAAAATAGAAAAAACGTTGTCTTCTAAAATTAGCATCAAAGCTAAAAGTTGAGTGAGTGTGATAGAGTGATACTAAGTATCACCAAATTAGCGTGTATTTGTCTCTATTGAGAAAGACAATAAATTATGACAATTGAATCATTAAGGTTTTTATTCGCTTCCAAGATAATTGGGAGATGGTCGAAGATGATTTTAGAGAATATAACAAATACTTCAATCTCAAAAGAAATATGGGTGATTTTGAAAAGAATATATAGAGGAGTTGACCAACTTAATCAAGTTCGACTTCAAATACTACGTGGCGAATTGAAGAGTACGAAGATGAAAGAATCAGAAAGAATTTTCAAATATATCACGAGTATTGAAACCTTGTTGAACTAATTCAATTAAAGTAGAGAAAATTTACCTAATGACTTTTGAGGTCATTGACCAATGAGTTATAGAATGTTGTATGTGCAATAAAAGAATAAAAGGACCTTGAAAAGCTCACAATAGATGAGCTAGTTGGTTCTCTTGAGATGCACGAGTAACAAAAGAAAGAGGATACATTTGAGCAAGCACTCCAACTCAAGGCATCTACTCACTACAAGAAAATTAATTGTTGACGAATATATAGCCGTCGAAAAATGAGTGATTATCGACAGAAATTACCAACGGATTTAAAGTAGTTGTAAAATTTGACCTTACAGACGGATATATCTGTCGCTAAATGAACAATTAATTATCATTGGATATATACGTCAGAAATGAATAATTAATTACCAATAGATATATCTTTCGATAAATTAACAATTTTGGTAAATGAACAATTAGTTATCTACAGATGTATCCGATCAGTAAATTAATAATTAGTTAATCGACAAACATTACTGACGATTTAAAGTATATTTTTAAAAATCAACATTAAATTAAAAAAATTAAATATTTAAAATTATATAATAATTACTTAATTTTAAATATATTCTAATAAATTAATTATTCACATAATTAAAAAATTAAATACTTTTTTTATTTAATAATTTAATTTAATCATAATTAGATTAATTAAATAATAGAAAAAAAGATAAAAAAATAAATTTAAAATATAAAAGAAATAAAAAAATAAAAAAGTAAAAAAAATTATTTTATATTATTATATAAATAAATTATAAAGATTATATTCTATCATTAAATTACAAACCCATATAAAGATACCTACTCACAAATTTGATATCAAAGTTTGAAAATCCACTTGACACACACTTTCACCCTCAAGTCGCGTACTCACATCTAACATATAAATATATAAATATATAAATATATAAATGTATAAATATATAAATGTATAAATATATAAATGTATAAATGTATAAATGTATAAATATATAAATGTATAAATATATAAATATATAAATGTATAAATATATAAATATATAAATATATTTATATTTATATATTTTATATTTATATATTTACACGTGATATACATTTATTTGTATATAAATATAATTTATTTATAAATTATTATAAAAAAATCCAAGTAGTTTAGTGGTTGGAGTATCAACTTTCAATTTTAAGGTACTCGAGTTTGAATCCTATCAATGACAATTATCTTAATTGAATAATAATTCAATTTTTTAAAAGACTTAATAAGTAATAAAAAAATATAAATAAAGGGAGGGAGACCTCTAGATAAATAGATAGGATATTATAAATAAATAAATGACAATTCTCTTAATTGAATAATAATTCAAAATTTTAAAAGACTTAATAAGTAATAAAAAGATATAAATAAAGGGAGAGAGACCTCTAGATAAATAGATAGGGTATTATAAATAAATAAAGGGAGGGAAACAATTATTACAATTGTTGGAAAGTATAACATTTTGCTAAAGAATGTCGAGTTGAGAAAAGAGGGAAGAGATGACCAATCTACTCACAGGAGAAATGGAAGTGAGAGAAATTTCTCTTAATTGAATAATAATTCAAATTTTTATAAGACTTAATAAGTAATAAAAAAATATAAATAAAGAGACCTCTAGATAAATAGATAGGATATTAGAAATAAATAAAGGGAGGGAGACAATTATTACAATTGTTGGAAAGTATAACATTTTGCTAAAGAATGTCGAGTTGAGAAAAGAGGGAAGAGATGACCAATCTACTCACATAAGAAGTGGAAGCTAGAGAAATTTTACTGATGATGACGGAAGGAAACACAAGTTTCGATTTAAACACGACAAGAACTACTCATATATATCATAACTCAGCATGACACGTAAATATCGACTACAACTCGATATGATATCTAGACACAAGTGCAAACAATCATATATATGTGCATGAATAAGCACTTATTCAGAGAATTAAACAAAGTTAAGGTCACATATGTGTCATTTGGAGATGTGTCATGGGTTAAATTCAAAAGTCGAGGTACGATTTGTTACCTACAAAATGATGACCTAGTTGGATCAATCCAGTATGTGTATTATGTTCCAGATCTCAAGAGTAACATTTTGAGTATGACACATTATGGAGAAATGCTACTCAATATCCATGAAAGACTATACATGAAGGATAAGCCTAGGAGATTGGTTACCAGAGTTGATATTGGATAAAATTTGATGTATAATAATTGAATTTGAAAAGTATTTGGAAAGAATTTTTGAAACTTGATGTAGAAGATGAGACCATGATGTGACATTTTCGATCTGGTAACCTACACTATGGTGGTCTAAACGAGTTGGCTAAGATGAATATGGTGATCAGACTACCAAACATAGATTACCTAAATTTTTTTTTGTAAAGGATATGTGCTCTGCAAACATGCGAGAACTTCAATTCAAGAGAAGGTTGAATACTGAATTAATTCATATTGACATATGCAGACCAATTACCCTCAAATTATTTAGTAGTAAAAGATATTTTGTTTCATCTATTGATGATTTTTCACGAAGAACTTTGGTGTATTTTCTGAAAGAAAAATCTACGGTGTTCAAGGTATTTAAAAAGTTTAAAGTAATGGTGGAGAAGACGATTGATAAACCTATCAAGTTAGTATGATTTGATCGAGGTGATGAGTATACATTGATAATTTTCATAAAATTTTGTGAGAAAGAAAGTATAAGGCGATTTCTCACATCATCATACTCACCCCAACAAAATGGTGTGTCTAAGAGGAAGAACTAAATTATTCTTAACATGGTCCGATCAATGCTCAGGAGCAAGAATATGCCAAAGAAATGTTGGATATAAGTTGTGCAATGTGTCATCTATGTTTAAAATTGATGTCCACATGCAAAATTGAATTATCAAACTCCTGAGAGGCATGGAGTGGATAAAAACCCTTTGTGATTCATCTAGTGTTCGATAGTATAGCCTATGAACATGTGCCATATTAGCGAAGAATGAAAATTGAAGATAAGAGTCGGAAATATGCTCTTGTTGGGTTGATGAGAAGACTAAAGGTTAAAAAGTACTAGACACAATAAACAAGAAGGTTGTTGTAAGTCATGATGTTCGAGTTGATGAAACAAGTGAGTGAAATTTGAGTGATTCATTGGAAGATATAAGCGAGAGTGTAGGATCGTCAGTTGCTATCATTACAAGAAAAATCGTAAATAGTGACTAAAAATTCGGTTACTAAATGACCAAAATCAGTCACTAACGAAAAGAGTGACTGAAATAGTGTCCAACTCAAATCGGTCACACTTTCTTTGGTCGTCGATTTCGATGATCGAATTAGTGATCGATTCAATGATTGAATCAATGACCAAATCAATGATCGAATCAATGATCGAATTTGTAATGAATCTGTGACTAAATTGAAAATATGAAATTCATCTATATATTGATCACTAATTTTAGTTTTTTATTTTATTATATACAACTTTTAAGATAATGATAAACCTAACTTTAGAAATATATAAACTATGAACATATATAATACGTTATATAAAATTTATCAGAACACCATAATTTGAAATAATCATCAAAATTATTACAAATATTTATCAAAATAAAAGTACAAATATTGTTCAAAACAAAACCATCAATCATTATATACTTTTTTACACATTAAATTTCAATATAAACATATAGAAAACTATATTGACAATAGTAGCAAAATTACAATTAGAAACACAAGAAGTTGAAACTAAAAATGTTTGAAGATCTTTATAACACGCACGAATTTGACAAATGTATTAAAAAGAAATAGATAATAATTAGAATTTGTATAAATAACAATCCCATAAATAATCATAATAAGATGAAAAAGTCACCTAAAGACTGTTAGTGAAGTTTTGAAGTTCCAGCCAGTAAGCAAAGTAGCATGTATAATAAAAAAATAGCATAAATAAATACAGAAGTTCAGATGAGAAGGTATAATTGTCACAAGTACAAGGTATGGGAATGCCATGTAAATTTTTAAACTATGAGAGATGTTTTTAACAGCAGAAAACTAACATAAGTCCTAGGACTAGGGGTCCTTAACAGTCTTGACATTACAGTGCAAATCAAAACCTTGTCCATGTACAAATCAAATCAACATAGTCCACATATCAATTCCAAAAATTCAATAAATTTTTTTTTGCATCATATTACACAACACAACAATGAGAACAAGGAACCAAAATAAATCATCAGAAACAAAACAAAACCAACAGAAACAAAATCCTCAATCGAAAATGCAATACCAGATTAGAATAAAGTAGAAACAAAGAATAAATCAAGCGAGGGAAGCTAGCTTGCGACCTCACCTTCGATTAGGGGATAGCGTTGCTCCGAGGACGCCACTCACAACACCGGCGATGCGATTGAGAAGGATCCACGGTCGAGGTTGTTGGTTCATCGCGACAACTTGCGATTAGGGCTACGAAATGACCCATGGCACCCCTGATGGTCGTGGGGTAGGGGCGGAGGCACAATTAGGGCTTATAAAGACCACCAACGGTGGCACAACTGCGAAGGCTACGAGCGGCAATATAATGCCCATGACAAGTGAATGGTTGGCTAGGGAAAATGGTTGAGATGAGACTTGGGGCGAGGGAGGCTCAATGGAGGGCTGCTGTGATTTGGTGGTGGCCAACACTTAGAACGGAGGACGAAGCGGAGTCCTGGAGACAGTGACAGAGACAGGGATGGGTCTCAATGGGGGTGAAAGGCCATCGATTGGGGCTAGAGGGTGAGGGAGAAATCACGGGTATGGGTAGAGGTCGCAGGTTGCAGTGGTGGTTGGGCTCGGTTGAGGGGGATGAGAGGTTGGAGTCGTGACTGAGAAAAATTAGGGTAAACTGTAATGGGTTGAGTTTTTTTTTTTTTTAACTATATATTATTATTTTTTATTTTTTATTCTGGAAAAGTAAAAGAGACTATTTTTATAGTTTTTTTTTTCATTTTCATTTTATAAAAAAGCAAAAAATTAAGAAAAAAATGAAAATTTTCGTTTTACCTTTTAAATCCTTTTTTTATTATTTTTTTCATATTTTCAAATATTAATTTTTTCATGAAATTAATTTTAATTAAAATAATTAAGTGATATATATACATTTATTTATTTTTTATTTTTTAATTTATTAATATTATCAAATTTTAGCGTAATAATTAAATCTTATATTTTTATTTGAAATTATTTACGTTTAATTACAAAAATTACCAATAATTTAAATTTTATTAATTCTATAATTTTATATAATTATTATTATAAATTTAATTCTCCAATAACTAATAATATTAACACATTTATTAAATTGAATTTATTTACTTTAATTAATTATTTTGAATTTTTGTAACTATTTTTTTTAATAAATACAATCAAACTTAAAATTAATTTCTAACTAAATCTTCACATATTTATGGTTAATAGTATATTATATTATTATGTTTAATTGAATTTTAAAATTTTAAAATAAGTTTACTTAATCTTTATATTTTTATATAAAAATGTCTAATACAAGCTTTAAATATTTATCCAACTATTAAATTATCCAATATATTAATATAAATTTAAAATATCAATTCAAGTAATTAAAATAATTTTAATTTTTTTATAAATATATTGAAATAAATTTTTATTAACATACAATATATATATATATATATATATATATATATATATATATGAGACTAAATTAATAATTAATTTAATGATTGATTCAATAACTGATTTGGTGACTGATTTGGTGATCGAATCAGTGATCGATTAGGTGATTAATTTAATAATCAATTTTAATTTTTTTATTCACATGCTAAATTAAAAAATAAAATAAAAAATTATATTACTAAATTATTTAATAAGTTATTAAACTATTTTTTAAAATATTTATAATGTTATTAAAAATTTTATCAATTATTTTAAGTTATTAAGTAGATTTATATTCAATATATTATTAAAATATTTTTAAAAAATATTTATATAAATGAAAATTAGTCACCAATTTAGAGATTATTTGTTTTGTGATCGAAATTTTAGTCATTGAATCACTCACAAAATATAAAAAAGAAAATCAATCACTGATTCAGTTATTATTAATGAATCGAATTTTTCAGTCACTAATTTCAATCACTATTAACCATTTTTCTAGTATACCACCAGATTATAGAAAAATTTTGGACTATTAATGACGAAGATGAACCAAAATAGCTCAAAATATGAAACTTGCAATATATGATTCTACAAATGAGGTACATATTGTATGTCTTTTGGCAGATTCATAAGACATAAGCTTTGAAGAGGCAATGTGAGGTGAGAAGTAGGCCATTGTCATGGATAAGGAGATTGGTGCAATTTAGTCTAACAACATGCGAATTGTCAAATGATGATTGGTACATTGGTGTGAGGTGGGTGAGAAAAAGATGAATGTCTAATGAGAGGTAAAACACTATAATGTTTGACTTGTTACAAAAGGGTATAAATTAAAGGAGAGAATTGATTATGATGAGGTGTTAGTGTAGTCACAAAAATAGAAACTATTCGATTGTTTATTTTATAATCAGCTTAGTTTAAATGATGATATTAAAACTGAATGTGAAGTCAACATTTTTTAATGAAATACTCGAATAGGAGGTGTATTGTTAAACAATCACTTGAGTACATGGAAAGAAGAGAAGAAAAAAAGGTGTTGAGGTTGAAAAAGACCCTTTATGGGTTAAAACAAACACCTCAAGCATGGAATACTCATATTAATGCATATTTTAATGAGAACATGATTGAACTTTGTTCCCATGAACATACTCTTTATGTGAAGAAGAGTGGAAGCAACATATTGTTTATGCTCTTTATGTTGATGATCTTACTTTTGTGAAGAATAATAATGGTAAAATGATATTTGAGTTCAAGAGCTCAATGGCAAGAGAATTTGAGATGATAAACTTGGGTTTGACAAAAAAAATTCCTTGATTTGGAAGTTAGACAAAGTGAGATGGGTATTTTTGTGTTCCAAGAAAGATATGAAAAAAAAATATTGTAAGTAAGTTCATGGAGGAGTTTAGCTATTCTTATTACAAGGTATTAATGTGTCTCATGTAATATGACTTAGAAATATGTTAAGTTTGTTGGAACAATAACAACTCAATATGGGTTGATAATAATTCAATCATAGACGACAAAAATCTAATGCATCCATGTAAAGAAAAGATACGTAGAGTTAGTATAGGTGGGAAGTTGAGATCACGTTTTAAATATTTTCACCAAGCAACTACCTATAATATTGCAAGAAATTGATTAGAGAAGAAGTATTTAAGTTTACTGTGGGTTTATGTTTTGTTGAATAAACTTAGATTTCAATTTAAATATTTTATTTTAATAATTTTTAATTGTAAATATGAAAGGCCAGGTGTTAGTGGTCATGTTTTGGGTTGTAAATCATTAATAGAATTTAACATAATGGAATCAGCTGGAGGAATTGCTTCAAACATATCCCCTCCAACATATTTTATGTTCTCAGTTCCTTGCAAGTCACCAACGTGACAGACATAATACAATTTACTTTAGTTCTGGGAATGACTCAGAAATGACCTTAACCATAGTCCCTGTTCCTCCTCCAACATCAACCAGTAATTCAAATCCCTCGAACACTCTCTTACACTTCTCAATCACCATACTGGAAACCAATAGACTGTCAGTAGCCATGGCGTCATTGAAGAGGTGATTGAATTTAGGCTCACGCGCAGCAAAATCCAATATCCCCTACCCTTTGCAGTACGAAATGGTGTTGGGTCATCATTTGTGAACCAAGTAGACAATTGAAGCCATGAATTCATAATCACTGGATGAAGTGCGAATTGCGGCAAATATTTCAAACTAAAGGGATGGTCCTTAAGGAGTAATTTAGATGCATCAATTAGAACATACCTCACTTCAAGCTCATTTTCGGTGACATCGTGCTCATAGAAAAAATCAGAATGAGTCAAAATTCTCATCAAGCTGTCAATGAAACTAGTCTTGGAAGGGTGGATTTTCAGTGAAGCAATGAGTTTTGAGAGTTTGAATAGATTAGAGAAAGGGTAGTGGTGCACAATTAATGGATTTTGAATAGATTTTATATATTGTTTCTAATCCTAGAAATTCCTTACTCTAGTTCTTTGTATCTGGTATCTTTGTTCTTGTTATTTGACACTAATCACAAGTTATTCTTTTTCAATTATTAATACAGAAAATTAACTACATTTTATTGAAAGAATAATAATAATATATTAATAATTGAGTATAGGACATTATGTTAATAATTTATGTTATTAATATAATGTTATATTAAAAAAAGTCTTCTTTTGGTTTTATGATTTAATTTGAACCCATATTTATATACATGTTCGGAAAATATACATAAATTATTTTACTTTGAAAAATTGTATTTTTATTTATTTTTTCTTTTATCTTAATTTAATTTTTATCCTTTTCTCTAAATTTTGTTTGATACTCTTGGAACTAAATTTTGATGTTGAATTCAGGAAATTAAGATAAAAGAAAAAAACTAAATTAAATTTTGCATTGATTATTTATACTCTGAATTCTTTTTTTCTTTAATACTGATTACTTTTTATGATTGTAAATTATATTTTTAATTTTTTTAAAATCAAATTAAAAATTGATTGGATGTTGATTTAATGATTGAATAATGATTAAATGGAATGATACTTAAATTTAATTTTTATAATTAGATTATTTGATTAATTGAATTGATTAATTGTTAAAACTTAAATAAAAATTTTCCATTTTTTTTATTTCAGATACATTTTTCAACTTGAATTTTACATTTCCAAATTCCTAAAATTGCAATTTAACTTGTTTAAAAATAAGATTAAAAACTTAATATTAAGCTTATACTCAAATTTATACTATATAACAAAAAAATATTTTAAAAAATACTGTAATATTTAATTTTATAAACGACAATAAATATCACATATCTACTCCTAATCATTATTAGTAACCAAACATCAAAATTCTCTAACTTTTTTCTTACTTGAGAGAAATTCTCCAATACTTCATGTGCAGTCTCTTCTAAGATTTATCTAAAGAGTTAGAATTTATATATAATAATGAGTAGATTAATTTTGGCACACAAAGATAAAGTTAACTTGCTTCTAAGTTTTATATTTTTAATTTGTCTTTTTAATTTTATCTTTCTATCTTTATCTTTATTTAACAATTTATTTTATTTTATCTTTTATAAAATTATTTTATTTTATTATTTATGTCTAATTAAATAATTTAACTAAACTAAACTAAATAATTATGTTATATTTTTGTTTAAAGAATGAGACGAAGACCAACTTAAAACATGATCAAATCTCAAATATTTTTACTTTATATGATAGTTGTAATAACTTAATGAAAATTAACATTTTTCTTCATCTTTTCTCTTAGGAATCAAACATATTCAATGAAAGATATAAGAATATTATTAAAACCAAGAAATGCTGAAAGATCATGTTGATAAGAAAAATAACATATTTAATTATATTTTACGTAAGAAAGAGGTGTTTATAATAATTAGGAAGTTTTCAATGAAAAACTAATATATATATATATATATATATATATATATATATATATATATATATATAATATTCATAAACTTTAGAGGATATAATTATAATTTGTCTATTAATATCGATTTATTATATGCGACTTTATATATTGTGTTGATTAAATTACACCTCATATAATAGATATGTAGGCTATCTTTATTCTAGTTCCTTGACAATAACCATTTTTATTGATACCGAAAATCAACTACATTTTATTGAAATGTTTTCAACTGTAGTTATGTCACGCAGATTTTTGCATAAGATGAGAAAATGTTAAGAGCATATATAAGGAAAATTCTTTATTGAACCAACTTTTTATAAGTGGAATAATATATGATAAGTTATTTAATATTTTTTCACTAAATAATTTACGAACATGAATAAAATGAAGCAAATAATTAGAAATAATGAAAATTTTAACGTTTCTTAAAAAAAATTATTGGAGTAAATCTAAATATTACTTGTTATAATAAATCTATGTTTTATGTTTTTCATTATAAAAAATAATTCATATGAATTACTTATGTTTAAAATAGCCTAACTTAAATAATACATATTTAAGTTTTTTTACTTGATAGTACAATTTATTGTTATTATCACAAATTTTAATTCTAACTCAAGATGTAATCAATGAGACCTCTCCATTGGTTAAAGGGGAAATGAAATAGATTTATTTCGTATGATAGAAACTAGATAAAACTTATTTAGTTTTGGGTCATGTATTTCAAAAGTTGATTAATTAATTTTCAAATTTTAAACAGTATAAATTTAATTATTTTATCAATTTTATAACAAAAATGTTACTAAATATTAAATATAAACATAATAAATAATAAAATTAAATATTTTGTAAATTTAATCATTCTATAAATTTTGTAAGAGAGAAAAAAATATTAAATATTATATTTATATTTAAATTAGAAAAAATCATATATTTTTAAAGTTAGAAGATTAAATTTATTAATTTAAAAATATTAATATTAAACAATAGTTAGAAGATTTTTAATGATGTAGAATTTTTTGAATTAAAAATCATTTTAGAACTTCCTTTTCAATTGTTCCACTGTTACAGAAATGTCATTTTGTTACGTTTCTTTTAGACTGAGATTTATTGGTTGAACCAGAATTTACTTCTGGTTTTCTCTCTCTATTTGTCTTGAACTGATAGATACTTCAGAGAAGTCATTACTTAGTGGTTACCATCTATGTTGAAAAATCGTTGTTTCCTTGATGCCAAATTATGCAAAAAATTTGGTAGTGAATGGTCCCAAAAACTGAGAAACACCAACTTTCATCATCTCCAGATATCCTTGTTGGCATGTAGATACCTCACAAAAATGACACATTGCACCAAAAATGTATTTGGATTTAACTTCGTCGCTAAATTTGGTTCATATCTATTGCAAGATTATGGTGCAAATCATGTGATAACTTGATGAAATTATCAATTTTATTTTCTCCACATTATATTCGATTAATAAAAGATAAACAGGAACAGAAAATTAAATGAAAACATAAAAAACATACATGGAAATTTATATATAGCTTGGTTTTTCTCTTGCACTCGTCTTGTGGTAAAGCTATGGATAAACTTCAATGATAGCAAGTAAACCTTGAGTAGGAGTGATCATGTAGTTACTGAAACCAGCAGAGAAAACTAGGTTGGCCCACTCTTTCTCATTTCTTTCTTTTCCATTGAAGATTACCATCATCTGCATATCAAAGAAAATCTCCGTCTCAGTTAATTCACGGTCTTCCTTCTTATTCCCCATCACCATGTCAATGATGATAACCTTGCCCTTGCTACTTATTGCCTCCTTGCAATTACTCAGTATTTTCAAACATTCTTCGTCGTTCCAGTCATGCAATACCCACTGCTTATTGTCAAAGTAACAATGATAAGAATCATCATAACAAAATGAACATTTTAAAATTATCTTTACGATCACAACTGCAACAATTAAAGGGGTTGCTGACGTAAAAGTTACATGCATGACGAATATCCATTATGTAACAATAAAGACTATTTTACGATAATATAATTGATACCTTCAACATAATGGAATCAGCAGGAGGAATTGCTTCAAACATATCCCCTCCAACATATTTTAAGTTCTCAGTTCCTTGCAAGTCACCAACAACATGTGGCAGATCAAATACAATGCACTTTAGTTGTGGGAATGACTCAGCAATGACCTTAGTCATAGTCCCTGTTCCTCCTCCCACATCAACCAATGATTCTAATCCCTCAAACACACTCTTACACTTCTCAACCACCATACTGGAAACCAATAGACTGTCAGTAGCCATGGCCTCATTGAAGAGGTGATTCAATTTAGGCTCACGCGCAGCAAAATCCCAAAATCCCATACCATTTGCAGTATGAAATGGTGTAGGGTCATCATTTGTGAACCATGTAGAGAGTTGAATCCATGAATTGACAATTACTGGATCATGTACGAGTTGCGGAAAATATTTCAAACTAAAGGGAGGGTCCTTTAGGAGTAGTTTAGATGCATCAGTTAGAACATACCTCACTTCGAGCTCATTTTCGGTGACATCGTGCTCATAGAAAAAAGCAGAATGAGTCAAAATTCTCATCAAGCGGTAAATAAAACAAGTCTTGGAAGGGTGGATTTTCAGGGAAGCAGTGAGTTTTGAGAGTGGCATAGGTTTGCCATAGTTGTGTATGATATCTGGTATGTTCAAGTCAATTGCACACTTAACGGACATGCTGTTTATAAATTTTAATATATGATTCCCAGTGTGGGTTTGAGCACGAAGCAATTTTGCAGTATGCTCTTCGCTGTGGGATTCCATATATAATTTGGTAGGTTTGTGTTGTATAAAACCTCATATTAGTTCATTCTATTTATAATACCAGCACTTGTGTTATTTAAATATCTTGATGCATTTTCTTCCATAACTTATCATCTGGATTATTTAAGTGATGGTAAATAATGGTAACAAAAATAGATTTATTTCATAAGATAACAATAGAAGAGAACTAAAATTGAAAAAGTTTTATTAATATGTTTTTTATTTATTTACTTAACTCTTTCTAAGTATTATTAAATTACCAACTATAAAAAAATATAATATTTTCATATTATTCTATGCTTTTGAAAACAAATATCTTAAATTATATTTAGATAGTGACTGATCTTGTTATATATTTTGATCGAAGAGTTCAATCAGTTTCTTGAACCAATAATTAAAAAGATAAGATAGATGATTCACATAAATATGTAAATATATAGAGAGTAGTAATATACCTTTTGAGTTCCATTATCAATTTGGCTTTATCAATGTGAATATTCCTTAAACCTTACGCCTTTGTTTGGATAGAAGGATTTTCTCTTTAGAAAGAAACGAGGGAGTTGAAATTAGGAAGTAGGAATGTGTTTGTTACTATTTGTGTTGATTTAAAAGGATGGATTAGTAGGATCATTGTATTAGAAATACCTTTGTATATAAAGAGAAAAGTAAGAAAATATGGTAAAAATTTTGTTACCCTTTAAGTAAAATTTTGTCTCATTACGTGCATCTTTACTATAATTTCTAAGGAATTTACTTCAATCCATAACCAATACAATTGAAGAAAAAAAATATTAACCGTTAATAATCGAGTATGCATCCATTGATAATCGATTACAAGATGTTTGATAATCAATGATAAAACATGTAATCAATTATGTTTGTTTTTATAAGTGTTGATGTGTGTTCTATAATTAATTAGACAATGTATGTTTGTATTATCTCTTATTATGTTCTCCTAGTATGTTGATGTATGTAGTTGATATTTTATATATTGAATACGTGCTAAATCAATGGTTTTATCATTATTATATTAATCTTAGTTTTTTTAAACTATATAATAGAATTTATATTTATGTGTATTTTATAGGATTTGTTAATTTTAAGTTTGCACTATTAAATAATTACAAAAATTATTTTATAGTGTTAATTTATAGAAATTAGATAACTAATTATAATAATAATTTATTTTTATTTTTATTAAATTTATATTTATAAAATTAATTATATTATAATTATCATTTATACTTAATTTATCCATTTCAATAATAAAGATATTTTAATCAATACACTAAAAATTATTATTTAATTTTTTTATATTTAATCACATCAATCACATCAATTATAATAAATTCATTTAAATCTATTCTGTTTTTTTTCTTCAATCCAAACAATCCTACAGTTAACTCTAGATCACTTTAAATTCAATCACTCAAATCCTCGCTACATCCCAATCACAAGGTAAAAAACCTTGACCTTCTCAACTTGATGGAGTCTTTTCATCATAGGTTAATATTTAAAAATAAATAAATAATTAAATAATTTTCAAATGATATGGTATAAATAATAAAAAAACATAAATTTTTAAATCATCACAAAATTCATATAAATAACTAATAGTGATATTTAAGATATATCTCAATTTCTTAAGTTGATATAATATTTCACTCATTTTCTCTTATATTTTTTAATAATATAAATAATTATATTAATTCTATAATATTAGTTTTATCTTATTTTTAAATTAATATAATTATTTGTAATTTATATGTGAACCTAAAATTTAGTTTAATAATTTATTATATTTGAAATAAAACAATGTAAACTTTTAGACAAATCCTAACAATAATATTTAATTATTAAAAAAGTATTATATTTTAAATTATATAATATATTTGATATGAAATTAACGCCATTTGTTAATTGATATTTAGAGTTATAACTTTTATGAAATTATTTTTTTAATTTAATAAAAAATTATTTCTATATTATATCTAAAGAGATTTTAAGATTCTCGAAATAATATAAATCGATCATTTTATTACAATGGAGATTATTATATTTATATATCAAAATTTTACATGAGACATTTTTAGGAAAATTATTAATATAAAAGTTGTTCTTCCAAGTCTTCTCCTTTATTATCTTTTAAGACTTCTTTCAAGAATAAAATTTTTTTTTTTATTTTTAGGTAGAATATTAATTATTTAAATGTTGTTTTCATTAAAAAAATCATAATATAATAAGTTGTTTATTTTTTTAATTATTTTATCGAATAACTTACAAAGTAAACGGTGAGAGAATATATTTTTTAAAGTTATTTTTTTTTAATTGTTAAAACAACTTAAAAATAATATAGTATAATATAGTAAATTTATATTTTTTATTAAGATAATAATAATAATAATTCATATAAGTATTCTTATTACCGAATATTCTAAATTAAACAGTATATATTTAGATATTTTTTATAAGATAGTATCAATTATTGTTATCACCACAAATTTTTATTCTGTGTCTAACACAGGATGCTATCAATGAGACCTCTCCATTAGGTTAGGGAGGAAATGAAATAGTATTTCCCATGATAGAAACGAGAAAAAAAGGGACTTATTTATAGTTTTTTATTTTATTTTCATCCCTTTATTTTTGTGAAATTTAGTTTTGAGTCATGTATTTAAAAAGTTGATTAATTAATTTTCAAATATTAAAGCATAAATTTATTCATTTTATCAATTTTATAAAAAAATTACCAAATATCAAATCTAAGCATAGCAAATAAATCAAATGAAATAAGTAAATTTAATCATTCTATGAAAATTTTAATAGTAAAAAATATTATTAAATATTAAATTTAGATATAAAAAATGAAAAATCATATATTTTTATAAGTTAGAAGATTGAATTTATTAATTTAAAAATATAAATATCAACAAAATTTGAAAAAATATATAATCTTTAATTTAATTTTTAATTTTTAATTTTTTATCTACTTAATGGTCTCTAGACATTTATTAATTTACCAATTATAAAAGAGATATTTTGATTTCATGCTATGAAAGAAAATATCTTGGATGTTTAGAGTTAACAAACTTTGTTTTGTTTTGCGAATAATTTTGAGTCAAGAGTACAATTTTGACTTGTAAAAGAAGTGAAGAAGTTCAAAGTTTTAGATACAGCTTTTGATAAATTATTATCCATGTGAAGCATATGGTGTAGATTTTTTTTATAATTGAAAATCATTTTAGAACTTCCTTATCCCTTAATTTTTTGACTGTTCCAAAAAACTTTTCAACTTCATTGTTCCATTTTTTTTAATTAACAATTATTTTAGAAGTTCCTTATTCCTTAATTGTTTTACTGTTGTAGAAATATCTTCAACCTCACTGTTTGGATAGTGAAAATGGACGACTCCATTCATATATGATTCATTAAGTCAAGTGAAAAAAATATGACTTAATTTAATCTCATGTTTTATGTTAGACCAATAAATTAATAAGTTTAATTTAATTTGATTGAAAATAAAAAAAATTTAATTTAGATTATATTAATAAAATTAATTTTTATTTAATGATTTAATATATAAATTATATAAAAAAACATATTTATTATTTAATTTTTAAATAAAAATTAAAAATTTATTATTCATTATCTAAATAAGACTCTCCTTAACTCTTAAATAAATAAAAAATTTAATTCAATACTATCTCAAATAATTCAAGTTATACATTAAAATTAAATTAAATTTTATTTAAGTTATATTAATCCAAATTATATAATTAAATCATATTAAATTAAATTTTATCCGAATATATCCATTCAGATTATACAATTATCTAAATAATTAGGCTATAATAATTATACGATAATATTATTTAAACATATCACTATTATTAACATGTAATATCATCAAATCACAACAATAAAATACCAAATCACATACATAAAACAATTATCAAAGTATATATATATAACCGCACTGATATATGGATATGTTGTGAATAATTTTTTGAGTCGAGAGTACAATTCTGACTTGTAATAGAAGCTAAGAAGTTTTCAAAGTTTTAGATCTTTAATGATGTAGAATTTTTTTTGAGTTAAACATTTTAGAACTTCTTTTTCGATGATTCCCATTGTTACAGAAATATCATGAACTTGGTTATAGTCTTGGTTGTTAATACTGACGTACACGTATTTGATATCTCCTGGATCCAGAAGAAGTCAAGCAATGGCTTGACTGCGACGTGCCATTTTCTCGTCCTTAATGAGTGGGTGTTGAATTAGTCCCATTGGTGAAAACCTAACTCCATGCCCAATCAAAACCAATATTCAAATCCTATCTGTTTGTTTTTCATGCTTAAGAAATATCATCAAATTTTGTATTCTAATGACATAATATATAATTTTTATTTTATCCTTTTCTTTTTATTTAATACAACAAATATATTTGTAAATTGTCTAAAATATTATCATAGATCTTTCACTTGAATAAAACTATAAACATTATACTTGTACACCAGAAAAAAATAGATCATTTATGTATGTTATTTTAGTATTTTTATGTTAGATATAAGTCTGACATTAATATAAAAAACGTAAATTTATGTTGGATATTATGATTGATGTAAATTTATGTTGGTTATATTGAGGACCGGTATTCATTTACATCAGATAAAATACGAAATAGACGTAAAATAGTTTCAAAAATTAAAAAAATGGGACGAAACTTATGTCAGACCATGTTACAACATATGTAAATTATGTTGGGTGAGACCAGGTCCTACGTAAATTTATGTCTGTTATAGCCTGATCCGACGTAAATTTTGCCTTTTTTTAATATTGAGTTTATTTTGGTGTACAATCAAAACCTACAAACATATTTTAATGACAGACAGTTCGGAGATTCAAGTTTCTTG